AATGTACAAGGAAAGTGCTGAGCAGGCGAGCGCGAGGGGAGGCGGGGGTGCCCCACGGGGCCCGGGACTCGTAGCTAGCAGGAGGCACGCTCAGTCGGAGGGCGCGTCGGGGGTGACGAAGGTGCCCTTCTGGTCCCACTGCATGTCCCGGATGCGGCGGATGGACTGGATCTGGGGCTGGAAGGCAGACCACTCGTTCCAGTGTCGGAAGTCTCCGGTCTCAAAGAGGTAGCCTCTGTAGCCAGGGTACTGGTACCCAACCCAGCTGCGGAGAAAGCAAACAGAGGGCACCTGAGCGGGTTCGGCCACCGCAGGCAGTGGTGACATGACTGGCATGCTTTTGGGAAGCCCCCCGAGCCCCCTGCCTCCCCCACGCTTGGTGCAATCCCCTGGGTGATGGGCTACACCACCCAAACCAGCCTTGCATCCCTTTCTGGCTGCCTCAGAGACCTGTGCAGGTGCTCGGGATGGGCGGGCAGCGAACTGGGGCATGGGGAGGATGGGAAGCCTGATGGGGGGCAGCCACCACAGTGGCCTGGCTTACGTTCCACTGGGCACCTGCACGCTGCCCACGCGGTCGCAGAAGCCATAAGCCCAGAGGCTGGGCACATCATCCTCCTGGATCTCCATCTTGTTGCCCTTGAAGTCAGCAGACTCATACAGGGAGATTTTGTGGTCCTCAGCCTCCTGGGGAAGACACAGGGAAGGTGCTGAGTGGTGTGGCCGGATCCCAGGTGCTCGCTGCAGTGAGGCATCGAGCAGCATGGAGCCAGACTGTGCTGGGTGCTTGCTGCTCCTGGACCACTCACCATTTTGATGGGACGCATGGACATGAAGCAGTCGCTCCGGTAGCTGCTGGACCAGGTGTCCCAGCGAGGGTACTCCCCCTTCTCCAGGATGAACATCTCCCCGCGCATGTTGGCCTGCTCGTAGGCCACCCAGCTGGGGACAGGGGGAGGACAAGGCAGCGGGTCAGACACCACCCAGCAGCTCCTCTCTGGCTCTGCCAGCCTGCAGAGTGCCAGAGCCAGGCTCCCAGCACCCAAAAAAGGCTGCAGGTGTCAAGACTGGCCCCACCACCCTGCTCCCACCTTTCCTAGGCACCACAACACCCATAGGGCTGGCAGCTGCCCCCAAATGCTGAGCCCGCAGGCTCTCAGCTGGGCGCTCGCCTGTGCAGCAGACACCGGCACGCTCGTGGTGCTCCCCTTCCTCAGCCTGGGCCCCCAAGGCAGCCGGGGAGCCCTGCACGCTGCGCACCGGAGACGCGTCCTTGTGTTATCTCAGGACTTTGACTGTTTTCTCCCTTTCACCGCCGAGCCCACGCCGCGGCTGCCCGAGCGCTGTAATCCTGGCACGCTCGCATGCTCCACTGCGCCAGCCGCAGCCAGCCCTGGCGCTCGTCCCGTTACCGGGGCTCGTTCAGCTGCAATGTCACCTCTTTCGCAGTGCCGCGAGGTGCTGCTGTGCTGTGAATGTCACAGGGCTCCGAAAGCCCTCGGCGCCACAACAACCCTGCATTGGCTGCTTCCCGATTCCCTGCAAAACAGGGATTTTTTCCTGCAGATGCCAACAGGTATTTTCCTAATGGCAGGAGACACCTTCGAGTGCCAGTGTGACCTTGCACTGACTTCTAAGGGTTGGCTTTGTTGATTTTGCTTTTATCTTTCCCTTTTATCAGTACATTTTTTGCGCACAGAGTCTCACCAGTGACTCTTGAGAAGACTCTGAGGGTTTAGGACCCCAGTGACACTTAAATTCTCTATTCTCCACATTTCACCCTTTCTATAGCGCAGCGTCCCAGGCGTCACCATCGGGGCTGCACCATCCCCCTTTCATTTTAAGAACAGTTGGATATTCTGGGTTCCTGATAAAAAAGTTGTCATCGGTGCTGCACGGTGTCATCCCAGGTGACCACACGTACTTTGCCCAGTCTGAACCGTGTCCCATGCACTCTCCCCACAGCACTGCCAGGCCCCCCCTGCTGCCTTCCCCAGCCAGGCACGGCCGTGGTGAGATGCTCATTCAATGAGAAGATCATCCGTCTGTGCAATGATCATCTAGTTTGGCGATCGTTTCTGTCCCTGCCCGTGTTGACTGTTCCCATGACTTTCAGACCTTCCCAGCCCCGTTATCACTGCTCAGCTGCCTGCCTGCCCTCCCCTGCCCACCCCAGCCTTGTCTAAATGGTGGCCCTGGCCTGCAGCCCGGTCCAAGGCACCCATCTTGTTTCACCTTGGCTTCTCTAAAATCTCGAGCTCTCTTGCATTTTGTGGACAGCAGAGCCGATGGATGCCTTTCCTAGGCCTTCAGCTTTGCCTCCAGCGCCCTTTGCTTTACAAATGGCCCTGTCCTGGCTGTCCTGCCCTCCTCAAAGGATACCTGGGGTCCCCAGCTCTGCTCCTGCGCTGGCTCTGCTCCGCTCTGCCCCAGCTGCAGGGAAAATGCCCAGGGCTGCTCCCCAGGACCACGTCCCCACCTCCCCAGGGCATCCCCTTGGTGGCTGGGGTCACTTACGGTCCAGAGGTGACAATGACACTGCGCACCCGGTCGAAGCCGTGGTCACCCAGGTTCAGGCACTCGGTGGTGAACTCCATCTGCCTGCCCTGGAAGTTCTCCTGGTCGAAGACAACGATCTAGGGGCAGAGGGAAAGGGTCAGATGGGGACAGGGATGTTCGAGAAGGGCAGGGTGCTGCTTCATGTCCCAGCACAGATGAGCCCACTGCCCCGCATGTCCCCCTCAGTTTTCCAAGGCTTCCTGCAGCTTTTCAGGTCTGATGCCCATGCAAGGCGAGCTGGGCTCTGTGCATGGGTAGTCCCATCCCAACACAGGGCAAGCACAGCAAGTTTCCCCCTC